CACACGATCATGTTATCCCTGGCTGACCCCGCCCCACTGGTACCAGAGGATGCCGCGGCGCTGCCCACATGGAGCCCCAACGAGAACCCCAGCCCCTGCGTTGGGTGGGGGCGCTAGCGTACCTTTAAAAAAAAAAAGATAAAGCCGAGGAGAGGGTGCTACGGATGCCATTGCCGTGTTTTCTCGCTGCGGCTGTTGGTGCAATGCCCCGCCCTAGCGCCGGCTGCGGGCGGGTCGCTTCGCGTTGTTTTGCACAAACCTCTCCGCCCCCGTGGCGGCACATCTTTCTTTGCTGCCGAACCCGTCGGGGGGAGGGGAGGCTGAAAGTCTAATTAGAAAAAAAAAGGCCGAACAACGAAGGGGGGAGAAGGGGGCGTTGTTGTAAAGGCGTGGTCGCTGGCTCGTCTGCTGCGCCGCCTCGGTGGGCGTTTGGCGCGTGGCGAGGGGGCGGCGTGGAAGTAGGGTGGGCAGCGAAGAAATTAGCAGAAATTGCCATACAGAGCACATTTATAAGGTTTGTTGGCTGAGGGAGGTCGCGGCATCGGAGGCGGCGCTGTCGAATGACTCTGCGTCCTGCTCGTCCTCTTCGTTGTCGCTGTCAGTGCCACTGTCTCCCGCAAGTGTTGTCGAGGTGCTGCTGCCGCCTCCGCTGCGCCAGCCCTCCAGCGCTGGTGCCACCTCGCTTTTTATGAGGTCAGCCAGTGCCTCCGCGATGTGAAGGGAGGCACGTTGGTAGCCGGCCTCTCCGATCCACCCGTTTCGGCCAGTCCGCTGCTCGAGAGGCATGCCAATGGCTGCCGGTAGTCGCAGCAGCAGTTCTCTTAAAAACATGTCGTCGCTCAGGTCAACAAGCTGAAAGGCTAGGTAAAGGCGGCCTTCTTTAATGACCTCGCTGAGCTTTGCGAAAAAGGACCCCCTCGGGCGACATGGCAAACAATCTAGACGGCTAGTATCTCCATCTTCCTTGGTTTGGGCGTCTTCGGTGCGTTTTTTTTCGATTTCCCTCATGACATCTGCGATGTGTGGGACGCGGCTGATGTCGCGCAGTAGCGTGCCCAGTTCGGAACGGCGATTGATCTTCACCGCAATCCGTTGCAGTGAGGCAGTTGCGTGGTTGGCGTACGGATCGAACCCGAGACGCACGCGTAAGCGGTTAAATGGGCCGTTCTTAATCACGTACGTCAGGCAGGACATGGCCTTCTTATTGATGTGCCTGCGCGGGCAAACGCCGGACTGGAGAACGGCGTCCAGAAGCTCCTGCGTAATCCACACCGGGCGCTCGTCCAAGAGCTGTTTCATGGTCCGCACTTCCACGCACTCGTTTTCGGCGTCGCCGCCGTTTAAGCGTTGCAGGAGATCCCGTTGTGCGGGGAGCATTGGGGGCGGGATGTTGGGGTCGTTCGCCATCACGGACAGCGTTGGCATGGCCTCAAACTCCCACTCTAGCGGCCCATCCTCCTTTTCCTCGCTCGTGGCGTCACCGCCGGGCGGTTTTGAAAGTTGCCGTTTGAAGTGCCCGCCAAATTCGCACTCGACCTCAAACGGTGTTTTCTCCGCCACGAAGTGCGCAGGCGGAAATAGCGTCCCGCTACAGAGAGCTGGTGCGGCCGCCAGCGCCTCTTTTGAAAAGGGCCCAAAGCAAAAGTCCGCGGGCCGAACAAGATCGACTTCCCGCGACACCACGCCCACCACTTTCGCTTTCGGCTCCCGGTGGCTGTCGCCCTCCTCTGGCAGGACCATCTCCCTCACAACGCGGCCGCTGAAGGGGTCACGCAACCGCTTCACGCACCGGGTGCGTGTCACCTCCACCAGCACATCGTTCCTGTAAAACCCCTGTAGCAGCACCTGCGGCGCAAACGAGGGAAACGACTCCCGCAGCATCTTCTCCCGTTCCCACTTCCCTTCCTCACATGTATTCTGTAAAAGGCCTTTGTTGCTGCCGTGTTGTTGCGGATTCTCGGCCTCCGCCTCGAAGTCCAGCGGGCGCCAGCCGGAAAAGACCTCACCAGTGCAGTATTCCGATGCTAGCGCTATCCCTGCAATGTGCTTGTGCAGTTTCTTCCCACTTTCCACACCTTGTGTGGGTGTCTCCGCCTGATCCTCTGCTGCTCCCTCCCCCACGCTGGGGGAGACCTCATCAAGAGCGGGGCGCAAAAACGACGGCGGGACAAAGGCCTCCACCATTCGACGGTCTTCTTCTCGTAGCCCGCCGCCGTGCGAGCTGGGAGACCTTGTTGTAGTTACAGGGAGGCAAAACGGAAGCTCTACCGAGACAAAGCGGCGGTGCGGCGCCACGCCCGACATTCCTTCCTGCGCTTACTGAAACAAGCGGCTGCACACGTCAACGCCGCGCGGTTTATAAAGCAAAGAAGGGGGAAGAAACAAATGGGCAAGTCGACTCCAAGGCAAGCGGCGGGACCGTCAGAAGTATCTCCTTGACCCCACACGCGCACACCCCTCGTGCAAGCAAGAGCGTGAAGAAGAGGGACCCCTGCAGGCTCTATCAACCCTTGCTTCTTTCCTCCTGCCATTTTTTTTTTTCCTCCCCTCAGTTTTTTTTTTTTCGCACGTTTCTTTTCTCCAGTGGTTTGGATGAGCACCGGAAACCGCCAAAGAAACATTACTTAACTGTTCTTCTCATGATACATCCGTGGGAATGAGGAGCAAACAAAAACACCAGCAGCAGCAACAACAAAAGCAACAACAATAATTACCAACAAAAAATTAGAATACATTCATGCGCCGCTCAATGGCACGGCGCTGCCTATAGTGACAATATGCACGTTGAATTGTGCTGGCGGCCTCGTCCAACACCTGCTGCACCTTGTTTCTTTGCCTCTCCTCCCGTAATTGCTCCGCCATACGCTGTGCCCGAATGCGTCGCCAGAACGACTGAAGCACAGTGGCGGCACAATCGTAAACGTCCTCTTCGAGCACCTGATGCTGCTGCTCCTTCGCCATTTGGCTTCGCCATTGTTTCCATTCGTGCCGCACCAGATGCCCGCGGAAGCGCGTCTGAATAATGACAGCGGCCCGCGCCTCCCTCTCCTTGGCATTTTGAAGCTCACGCGCACGGTGTTGCTTCCAGTAGCCCTGAATAATCTTCGCAGCGTGGGTCTCGACCGCCTCACGGCGCACCTTCCTCAACTTCCTCATGGAAAGCCACTGCCGAACTGCCCTTTGAATCACTTCGGCCGCTCTGCTACGCGTATTGGAGTTCTCGAGGCGCCGCCTTACCAAATCCCGCTTCGTGGTAAACTCATGCACCCAGAACAGCTGTCGAACCACCTCGCGCGGATCAACGGTGGCCAAATGCTCCATTTCCTCCACCAACGCCTTCTCTCGCTTTGTGGCCCGCCGGGCATTGGCCTCACGAATGGCCCGCCATGATCGATATGCGCACTGAATGATCACCGCACTGCCCCGCTCCAGCGCTGCACGCTCGAGTTGGCGACGTTCTTCAATCTCCTTTTCGCGTCGGAGTCCACGCGCGTAGACACGCTCGTAGTAGCCGCGGTACACCGCCTGTATCTTAGTCGCAGACCCATGCCGCTTCAGGAAACGCTCCCGCTCTTTGTCTGTCAAGAGGGAGAGGAGTTGTTTGCGTTTGCGACCCAATAATTCTTGCTGGGCTGCACGAACGCGCAAGGCGGCGTTGACACGTGTCACGGTTTCCTCCCACTTCTCCATGTAGTGGAGCTGCAGCTCCAGTTCCTCCTTCCGCTGCGTTCGAAGCGCATCGAGCTCCCACCTCGCCAAAATCCGGCGCCACCAGCACTGCAAGATAATCACCTTTGCCTGACGTATGCGGCTCACCTCGCGCAGTCGGGCGGCCTCCTCCGCGGCCATCATTTTCCTCCAGAAGCACTGAACGGTGAGCGCAGCCCGAGAACGACACATCCGCTCGCTCGAACGCCGCTCCACCTCTGCGTTGATGTTCCGGCGGAAGTTACGCGCCCGCCACGCCTGTTGGATCTTCACAACGTACACCGCAAGCGCCTCTAACGCCTTGCGCTCACGCGCAAGTGCCATTCGTGTCGCACGACCACGCCACACGGCCTGCAAACTGACAACAGCCTCTTCGCGTCGCGTTAGTAAAAGTTTCTTTTGGTGCAGCTTCCGATGGTACTGGTCGAGCCGAACAAGCTCCAGCCGCTGGAGGAGCTGACGCACCGCCCGCTGCATGACAAAAACCGCACGTGTTTCCCTATCCAACTGCTTGGCCTCACGCCGGCGACGGAGTTCTTTGCGACACAAGTATCCGCGGTATTGTGTGGCAATGCAGACGCTGGCCGCCTGACGCCGCCGCATAAGTTCCACCGTGTCTTTGGCCATGGCACACCGCCATGCACGTTGAATGACACCGGCGGCCACCATCTTTCTATCGAGCTCCACACGCATCCTGGATTTATAAATAAGACGGCACCGTATGCGGCACGCGAGACGGCGCCCCGCGTAGCCTCGTCCAATACGTTGAAACTCCTCCGCGTACAACGTAAGACGCAAAAAGGAGCGTCGCACACTCCGAACGAGAGCGGTACTGATGAAGCATCGCCCCCATGCTTGCAGCAGAAGAATAGATTGCGCCTGAAGAAGCGCCAGCCTCCGTCGGTGGGCAATGCCAGCGTAATAGCGGGCCAAAGCCCTCTCACTTGAACGCGTCTTGCAGTCATGGTACCATTGCTGAATCTTTACAGCCGCATTCTGACGGCGGTTCCGTTCACGCGTCTCAAGGAATCTCCGACGCAAAACGCACGTGGCGTACCACCGCTGAATCTTCGTCGCTCGTCGCTCTCGTAGTTTGTGCTCTGCAAGCAGGCGTTCAAGCTTGATGCGGGCGACACGGTTCCGCCACTGACACTGAATCCGCGTCGCCGCACGCCTTAACCTCTGCTGACGAAGACGCTTTACAAGATCCACCTCTTTTCCACGACGAAGTCGAGCAGCAAGGACACCCCTGGTATAAGCCTGAATGATAGCAATCCGCTTTTGGTTCACCGCCGATCGCAGCTCCTGCTCGCGGCGGTACAACTTGTAGTAGCGGAACCATGCCCGAGCCAAAACGCCACGTACCAGGGCTTGTATTGTCGCCGCCGCCCGTTCGCGCCGTCGCTGCAGTTCGGAGGCCCGAATCTCTTCCTTGTGTTGTAGGTAGCGTCTAAATGTCCATTGGATGCGCCGTGCGGCGTGCGTCGCCACTTGGTGCTTTCGTTCATCCTCTAAGCGTTGGGCCTCCATAAGGGCTGCAAGGCGTTCCCCTTTCCACTTCATAAAGGCTAGAAACCCCCGTTGAATCCGCCGCGCAGCGTAATACCGTCGCATCTTACTCGCAAGATAGGCCCGCCGGATCTCCAACCTGCGGAGAAACTGCCGCACACGTCCTTGCAGCAAAATAACAGCCTCCGTTTCTTGCCGCTCGCGTTCGGCTTGAATTTGAGCAAGCCGTTCCTCCTCTGCCCGACGGGCGGCGAGAAGCTTGCCGAGGTGGATGCGAAACACGCGCTGTATCTTTCGAGCCGCAACCACCATCCGAAGCAACAGCGTTCGAGCCATGCACCCACGCCAGATGCGTTGAATTCGCGTGGCGGCACGATGACATCGGTTCAGTTTTTCTGCACGCATGCCATTCACAAACCGTTCGTACAAGTTTTCTGCCAGCTCCGCATCATTTTTGGCTTCTTCCTTTGCCAAACGTCTTTCCTCCCGCTCCTTTATCTTGGCAAGCGCACTACCACGTTTCCCAAGGACATCTGCTCGTTTTTTTGCCTCCTCCACCTTTGCCTGCCGCAACAAGGACCGTTTCACATGCTTTTCCACAGCTTCAGCCCCAGCCGCTGTTATACTCCGCCGCGACTGAAACACCAAACTTAAACTCTGTGGTGATGGAGCCGCGGAGCTCCCAAAGGTGCGACGACCAAACGGGTTCACAACTCCACCTAGGTTGGAGGAACTGTGTGAACCACTCGGTTTTGAGTGGAACTTGGGGATCGACAACGAGCTGAGGCTCTGACCTCGCGGTCGCTCCATTAGTGGGCTCACTGTTATTGGCGATGTTTTACTCTCCAGTTGTATGGGTGCCAGCACGGCTGGCCGTATAATGGGTTGCTTTGTAGCGCCACCAAAGACGTTCAGTGGTGGAGTTACTGGGGTCGCCTTTCTCCTAGCGGTGGGGATCTCCGTGCTAAGTGTCATGAAGCCATATTCCGTCCTCGGTGCATGTGAAGCCGTAGGACCAGGCACGGTGTGCGCCTGCATGGGTAGAGGGGCGGTGCGATGTGGCACGATTGCCTCTACGTTCTGAAGCGGAGCAGGCGCACTTCCAGCCACAGGGAGTGAGAAAGAGGCAAAAGGCGTGGAATCCAGAGAGCGCTCTACGGTAGTGCATGATCCGTGTGGTTGGGTGTTTTGTTGCAGTAAACTTGTACGACTCGCCACCTCGATGATCGGAGCCAACTGCTTTTCCTGTTGCTCTGGTGGCCGTTGCTCTTCTTGCTCCTCATGTAACTCCTCTGAAGATGGCTGCTTCATCTCCTGCGGCTGCTCCCGCTGCTCTTCTTGTGGCAGCAGTAACGGTGGTGTTGGATTGAGGGCCCCCTGCGACTTCTTTTGTGTGTTTGCTTCCGCTCGATTAAGACGAAATGCTGGTGCTGCATGCATGCGACGCACCGCCTCCATTGCAAGTTCGACAGTGGGGCAGTTGGGGTCTACAAAATACTTCCGGCTCGCCTCAAGAGCGCGGCCGTACGCGACGCGGGACTTCGCAACGTCGCCATGTCGACCACGGTGCTCGAGCGAGACACCCAAGTTATACAAGCCGACCACCAGCATCATAGCACAAGCTGGCAGTCGCTCCTTCTTTTGTCGTAGCATTTGCTCCTCAAGTGCCGCAATGGCGTTCTCCGCTGCATTCACCGCATCGTGGTGCTGATTCATTTCATTCAGCACTGTGCAGAGGTTCAAGTACGTAGACGGTGACCCGCGCGAGGTGGGGTCAAGAGACACTTCAAGTTCCACTGCCTGTCGTAAGTACCCTAGCGACTCCTCCAGCCGCAGCCGCCGCTTCTCCATGCAACCAAGGTTATTCAGCGTCGCGGCACGCAGCCGCAGCCGCCGCGGTTCCACGTCAATAAAGTAATTCGCCTTCTCTGCACCGCGCACATCCGTCAGGAAAAGCGCCTTCCCAAGGAAGAACTCGGCAGCTCCAAACCGCTTCTCGTTGAATGCAGCCACAGCATAGCTGTTGCAGCGCAGCACGAGATCTTCTGCCTGCTCCATGCTTTTGCTGCCATGCGGAAGGAGTCCTTCTGCGATGAGAGGCGCAAGCAGCGGCGTCACTGTCGCCTCGTTGGCGTGACGCAACACCAACGCGGCCTCCATACACTTGACGCTCTCCGGATAATTACCATGCTGCTCGAGGTCAGCAGACATTTGCAGGAGGAACCGGATGGCTGACACAACCGAGGACGGGTTCTTGGGGTTCACAGAGCCAATGGCGCCCTGGGCGGTGAGCGACATCATCCACTCCTCTGCAGAGCTCGGCGATAATCCGCGTGAGGGGTGTGCCGCAAGAGCCATTTATTCGTCTTTTTTTTTTCTTTGTTTCTCCTCTCTCTCCCCGTTCCCTGATGTGTTCCACCAAACCTTTTTCGCCTTTTCACTTCCACTCACTCCCTTTCTATTCCCCACGCCTCGTGGCGGTTCCGGTCGTATCGCTTTTTTGTCTTTGTTTGTAGGGGGTTTCGTGCGCGACAATAGAGAATAAAACGGAAGGTAAAAAAAAAAAAGTGGCAACCGAACCCAGCAGATAAGGAAGGGAAATGTGTTCCGCAGGCACACAGACACGCAGTGTGGGCTGGGCCGGATGAGCAGCACCTCAGACAGGGACGTCTTGTAAGGAGAAAGGAGGCATAACACTCTATATTCCTGAGGACGACGGCACACTCGCACATAGACTTTTACACTTCCTACCCCCGCCACACAGAGAGAGGTGGATGGACACTGCGGTAAGCATCTCGCGTCCCGCCATGACGTTTTGATACGTGTCTGCGTCGATGATCTCGCTCATGCGGGTGAGAATCATCAGCACCTCATTGGAGGCCAGCCACCCAGCGTCGCGTGTGTAAAAGGCGTGAAACATCCTTGCGGATTCCTCTTCAAAGCAAAATTCCTCCGAACTGAGGGTTCACCTTTGCCGCGTGAATTTCTGAAACTCGCTGCGTGTCACGGTGTCGCCGGAGGCAAAGTACTAACGGAGCAGCGCCGCCATTTCAGTCCGTGTGGAGAATATCCCACAACTTTGCAGTACGTGCAGGATGCATGTGGTGGGAATATGACCAACACGATCCGTATCGTACAGGTCGAAGGTTCGCAGCAAAGCTGCTGTGGGGACGGACATCGCACAACCAGTAATAACGCCAATGCGGAGCTACACTGCGTACACGGAGAGTGTGAGTGAAAGGAGGACCGTCAGCCAACAACGCTGTTGGAGTACAATGAACCATCCGGGCACCGCCCATCTTCCAGCGGACGTGACAAATGCAAACACGCACCACTCTTGCTATCCTCTTCTCATGCTGTTAAACCCGTCTTTTTTCTTTTCTTTTCTTTTTTGTTTTTGTTTTGTTCCTCATTTTTTTTTCAAGAAACTCATCTCGTCCTCGTCCTCGTCAGTCTCGTCACTCAACAAGGATGCGCCAGGGGATTTTGCTGCTATTATCCCCCCCCTGCGCAGCGCCATCATTTCATCTTCTTCCTCTTCTTCCTCCGCCTCCGCCCTCTCCACGCCGCCACGCCGCAGGAGGGCTGGCACCACAGACGACGTCGCCTCCGTTTCCTTCGGAATCACCTCCACCTCCGCACCCTCCGCCACAACGTCCCACATTGACCAGTACTTGCCATGCGCCACCGTCAGTAGTGCGTTCCCCGAGCCACCAGATGGACGGCACTGCGCCCGCACAGGGAAGGGACCACGCAACACCTGCACACACGCCCCCGCCGCGTCCGCATCCCACAGTCGCACGGTGCCGTCCAGTGAGGTCGACGCCACGGCAGCGGGAAGAACAGGAAAGGCGGGATTTGCATAAAACGACACTGACGTCACAACGTCTTCGTGTCCCACCAAGATGCACGGTGCCTCTGCGGCTCCGCGCGACAAGTATCGTGCGTCCCACAGGTGCACAAGATTGTCAGCGCCGCCGGATGCAAAACGAACCCCGCACGGTGACCACGAAACACACGTACAGGCATTTAAATGACCACCGTGCTTTCCTGCTGTTGTAAAGGCATGCGTTCCGCTTCGCACGTCCCAGGTTACCACACGCCCCGCCTTGTCCGTCGTGGAGAGAAGTGACCCATCAGGGTGAAAGCAGACATCCAGTGTTCCACCTGCCGTTTCATACCCATCTTGTGTTAACAGATACGGCAGCTTTCCATGAGGCGCCACAATTGCAGCATCCCACAAACACACAGTAGAATCATCACTTGTAGAGGCAAGTAAGGAGCCTGTGGGATCCACAGCAAGACGCTGAATGCGCGCCATATGCTGCTCTTCACTTGTAGCTACACGCTCAAGACCAACCTGGGCAGAATGTTTTACGTCATGCACATCAATCCCAGTCTTGTTACTCACATCAACACCCCCATCATTAAACGAGTCCTCAGTAATACGCCAGACAGCAATGTAGTAATCAAACATATTTGTGGAAAAAACAAAGGGCGTTGTCGGGTGTACGGCAAGATGCCGGACGTGTCCCCAACCACTGCCGCAGCTAGAGACACTCACCAGCGGTAGGCAGGCGTCCGTATTCCACAGCGTGATGACACCATCTGCTGCGCCGGTGACGACCGTGTGTGGCAGCATGGAAACTGCGGCGCATGACGTAAACGGCATACAAAGACCCCCTACGAGTGAAGAAGAAGATGCGCTGGCACCGTTAGTTCCATGCATACACCCCATTTTAACGTTGCGAACAGACTTTGTCAAGCGCATGCGTTGTAATGGCTGCACGGCCGCCTGATGGGCGGGGCGAACGACAGCCGAGGCGGCCACAAAAGCATCCTTTAGGCTCGCAATACGACGCTCTGCACGTGCCATTGACAGCGGCAGTAGTGCCTGGCGCCGTTCCACCAACGTTGGAGGTGCCAGCGAAAAGGTTTCATTGTTTCTCACCAGAGCGCTCGGGGCAGACGCACGCTGCTGACTCCTTCTTCCACCCTGCGAAGCAGACAGTGATGATGCGGAGGCCATGAAGTGTTTACTACGAATATCTTCAAGTGTTCTGTACCCGCCCTCGATCATGAGTTTGCGCAGGCGGTGACGACGCTCAAAGGCTGCCTCGGCAAACAGGACAATTGGAGCCTCCAGTAAACGTAGTCCCTGTTGCACCTCATGATCAGTGACAGGAATGACAGGGTCAATCAGTTCCATCCACCCTGTCTTACTGTGAGTGCATTAGTGAGAGCGAAATAGAGAAAGAGAGAGAGAGCGTATGCTTCTTTCGCCAGCCCGGGCAGCACACTGCGGTTGCAAAAGAAAAGGAAGGCAAGAGAGTGCAAAGGAAAGACACCGCTCGTTGCACATCCACACTACACAGTGAGAAAAGACGCATCTAATGCAGTGACAATATGTATATATGCATGCATACATGCATGTATGTATAGATAGATTCATGGGGATAGAGAGACGTGTAACAATTCGTGTTGCCCTTCAGTGGAGTTTGTTGGCCGCATGCGACAGATTCGCGGCCCTTTCAATCATCAGCAGCGCCATCACGAACCATGCATGCAAACAGAGGACGTAAAATACCACAGCAAGGCGCATGACAGGCTGCCGACGCAGCAGTCGACCAAAGCGAAGAGCTGCCGCATCCACAGCGGCCATCATCTCAACGACCACCGACATCAGCCTGCCGGTGGATGAGAGATGCCGGAGGAACATCGGACGGGAATCCGCTGCATCCCGCATCAGCTGCTGCGAATGTGTCACATTTACACGTGTTGTGCGCTCCTCCTCAAGCCGAGCCGCCGCACGCTCGCAACGCCGCCGCCACTCGGCTGCATCCCGCATAGCCGCCTCCAATGCGTTCTGTTTCTCCAACAGTTGGTGAGAAAAAAACATCTCGTTCCGCGACTCCGCATCATTGCCGCGAAGCCCGACAAGAGTGCCGGCTGCGGTGAAGGTGCCACCATGCTCTTCTACAGCCGCCCGCAACTCATTTAACTCCCGCTGTCGCCCCTGCAACAACGCCTTGCTCCGCTGGTGCGCCGCCACCTCACTCTCAAGGGCATCCTGCGCCCCACGCAAATCTAACCGCATAAAGTCCAACTGCTGGACGATTGCAAGTCGCTGTTCGTGCGCCGCGTCCACCTCGCGATGTCTAACTGCAAGTTGAGCCTCTAACCGCTCCTTTTCTTGCTGCATGGAGGCAATCATGCTTTCTAACTCCTCTTCCCGCTGCCGTGCTACGACGGCATCGCTGTCGTTCAAAGTGTCCTTCTCACCACTGCCTGTGGGCCCCGTTCTTCCTTCCTGCAGTTCAAGACGTCGATGAAGTTCGTCATACTCTCGTTGTTTGTATTCAAGTAGGCAGCGAGACTTTGCCTTGTGCTCGTCAAAACGCGCCCTGACGGTGCGCAGCGACTCCTCCAATTGATGTACCTGTAGCGAGCGCTGCAGCAGTTCCTGCCGCGCTGCCTCCGCCATCGCCTGATGGCGCCGCGCGTCTTGTGCAAGCGCGTCAAGTTCCTCGTCTCTTCGCTTCAGCAGCGCTGACTCAACACCTCCTTGAAACATCAGCGCCGTCGCCGCAGCCGCCCCCTCCTCAACGTGATTCCGCATTCCTTGCGACGAGATGCTTGTGTCCCCCGCCACCACCGCGGACGCCGTTGCTGTCGTTGCTGATAATGACGAGGAGGCTGTGCCACCATTACTGTTGCTGTTGTGCGGGTTTGTGTCCCCGCGGCACTGCGTGGCCGCCACGGGTTGCTGTAGAAGCGGTGATAACGAGAGGTTACCTCCCAGCGTCGTCGGTGCATGCTCCTCCCCCGCAGCTCGCATGCGACGCACTGAGCTTACCTCATTGCCGTTGCCGGACTCCGCGTCCACCGCCATTTCTGTCTGCAGAGCCGTCGTCTCCGCCTCCACCGCCCGTTGTCGTGCATGTTGCTCCGCCCGCTCGTCAACGGCCTCTAGGAAGGCCGCCACGCCTTGAAACATGTCGCCAGGGACAACTTATTCACCACCTCTCTCTGGGAACAATGCCAATCACCACTCTCCTTACAATCCACTGCGCATAAGCGTTTGCACCGCAGTCTCCTGTTAAACGGCGGTCGGTCGTCACCAAAATGTGGCGCAGCCACAGTGGGAACGCGCGAAAACACAAAAAAAGCAAAAAAAGCAAAAAAAGGAACAACAACAATCACAAACCATGACAAATGTAAAACAGCGGGCATGCAAGTAGTACACGGTGTGCCCCGTGTGCAAGGATAAGAACACACACAGCAACAAAAATAAGAAGCAGATAACGCCGCTCCAGCGACGCGCAAAAGAGATGTAGGTTACCGCTCAACGGCCACAGTATCTGTCAAATTCACACCTGTTGCCTCCACTTCCTCCTCCGACGCTGTGTCGTGGTGATCCAGCAACGGGACGTAGCCATCTGCCTCCGGATCGCACACGCCGCTATAAAACCCCGCCCCATCATCGTTGTCATCATCAGATCGGGCCTCATTCTCTGCCGCAGTGTTAGTGCGTGTGGATGCGCGAATGGCTGACGCAAATGGGGCCTCGCCTGGGCCTTCCAGCGCGCGTCGAAGCACTTGACGGATATCGGCAAGCACATTTTCCGTACCAGCTTCCTCTTCTTTACTCATCTTCTCTTCCTCCGTCTGTTTCCCTCTCTTCTCGACTATCTGCTGAATCTGCAAGAGATGAGCCATGGTATGCTCGTAGGCGTGCTGCACATTTGCGATGGCACAGCAGAGCTCTGCAAAGTCCAGCCTCGCCTCACAGATAGGGTTGCCGCATTTGTGTACGGCGGTGACGTGCATATTGTCAAAGGAGCCGAGCTTCTCAGCAATTGCAAGACGTGCGGCCTCCTGCATGATCTCCGTTTGAAGCACGGGGTCCTCAAGACTCTCCAGCGCCTGAAGGTGCAGCGGTAGCGTCACCGTGCCGGAAACATTAACGGTAACGTCCGTCGTGGGACCTAACCCGCGCCCCTCCATCTTTCGCACGCTCAGTGCACACAGTCCACCTCACGGGCACACACACACACACCTTTCGTTCCTTGTATCTGGGCACCTACTGCAACGTGCCGGCCACAGTAACCGCGGTCGCTTCACCTGCCTCTGCTGCCGTCGCCAACGAACGAAGGAGGGCTTAAGTGCAAAAGGGGAAGATATAGGTTAACCACCCGGGCTGAACAGCGAGGGACACAAAAATGGGCGGCTGCAACGGCAAGAGAACTTTTAAGGGGGAGGAAGTGTTGGAAGTGAGACGGTACAGCTCTAAACGATATCGATAAAAAAAAAGAAGCACACACACACAGAGAGAGAGAGAGAGAGAGAGAGACGGTACGCACATACTCTCCGCTTTCGTACTCATGGTTTGCTGTTTATACGTCTCCTGCGCACACACTGTGACCCGTAAGACTACCAATCAAGCAGTGTGTCCATGTAACGAGACCCACGAAAGCGGAAGGTGCTGCCGTACATCGACTCATGTCGTGGTATCTCACTCTTGAGGTGCTCCGTCAGCCGTAATAGTTCTTTCCGGAACTCCTCCATCTGTACACTATTACCACCACTACTCTTGCTGTTGTTGTTACTGGATGAGCTCCTCTCTAGCTCCTTTAGGCGGTGCATCAGGAACTCTCGCCGTGTTACGACCTCTAGAAGAGGAAGCTGAAGCTCCAGTCGCCGCGTTTCCTTCTTTACCTCCAATGCACGCTGTGGCAGCGGCAGTTGGGACCAGCGACACAGGGCCTGCTCCTGCTCCGCCTCTGGCACCTCCATCACGGACCACAGTTGCTGCAACTTCTCGTAATTTACGTCATACAACACGTCAGTGTGACCGTTGCCGGCCGTCCTGCCATAAGGTGTGAGCGGCACCGCATGCACATTCAGCTGCGAGGACTCATCCCCCCCGCGCTGATAGTGTTGGGGCGGCGGCAGCTGCTGCTGCGGCAAGGCAACTGGTGTGGCATCCTGTGACAACGCATGACGTCCCACCGCCGGGGAGGCCGCGGAGTACGGCGAAAACGCGTCGACGGACTGACGGCGCCTCTCTTCGCGCGCCGTGAGTTCTTTCAGTAATCGCTGCTCCTCCTCACCGAGGGCACGGCGAGCCCACGCCTCACGCTCCGCGCGCAAAGCGTCATGCATTTCCTTGTAGACGTTTTCATACTTCGCCTGCACCTCCCGCAACGCCTGAAGCTTCTGCTCCTCGTAGCTGAGGTGCAGCGCATCCACTTGGGCGTGGGCCTCACGGAGTTGGTTTTCCAACTCCGCGCGACGCCTCTGCTCATCCTCCAGCATGGCGAAGGATGCCTGCAAGTTCTTCTCAAACTCCATGCGTGCCTGCTCGGCAGCCTCACGTGCACGGCTCTCCGTCTTCTCAAAGTACGTTAAAAGCGCAGTGTCCATTTCGTGGCGAAGCGCCGCAAGGTGGCTGTTGTGGAGCCGCTCCGTATCATGTACCTTGCCATCCCGCTCCTCCCTCTCTGCCTTCACCCGCTCCAATTGCTCCTGCATGAAAGCAACGTACTTAGCCTCCATTTCCTCACGCAACACGGCCCGCTGCTCCTCCACGCGCCACACCACGTCCATGTCTGACGTCAGGTACTCGCGCAGCCGCATTTCCATCCCGGTGTGCATCGCACACAGACTCTCCTCATACTTTTTCTGCAACTCGTCCTTTTGCTCCTCTAGCTGAGTGAGGTGCAGCTGTTCAAGCTGTTCCACTCGCCTCATATAGTCTTCTTGATATTGCTGTGAGGTTGCCTTCACGGCGCGCATCACACGGTCAAACTCATCCTGCATTACCCGCACACGCTCATTGGCCGACTCCTGTTGTTCACGGTCCTGCGTTTCCATGCGTTCCAGCAACCGCCGGAGTTCCAAGTCAAAGGCCGCCTCACGCTCCCGGAGCACCACCTGTGCACGCTGCCGCTCCTCCGCAAGACGACTCTCCTGCTCTTTGCGCAACTCTACCACGATCCCTTCGTGACACTGCCGTTCTGCCTTCAATGCGGACTCGTGTTTGTTTCTCAGCTCTACCTCTCGCTGCCGTAGTTGCTCCACATGCTGGCATTTCTCGATCTGCAATTCATCCTGTTGTCGCTCAACCTCCGCCCTCCAGAGTCTCCGCTCCTCCTCCAGTTCCGTTTCATGAGCCAACCGCATCTGTTGGATCTCTGCCCGATATGCGCCCTCCATCGACCATGTCTTTTCCATCCAGGCGGTCTTCAGACTCTCCCACTGCTGCTGCTGCTCCTGTGAACGCTGCCACGTCGCCTCTGCGAGAATGCATTGCTGCTCCTCAAACATCTTCATGGCGTATTCCGCGGCCCCCTGTTCCATGCTCGCTTGGTTCGCCCGCAACGTTTCCTGCAACGCCCTGTTGCGCTCGTCCAAGGCTGCTCGCTCCATACGAAGTGTCTCCTCCACCTGCGCCTGCACACGTGCGAGATCGGCGGTGCTGGATGACTCCAAACGTTTCTTGTAGGCCACACGTTCGTTAATAAACACCTCCAACTCCTCCTTGCGTGCCTGCAACCACCGCGCCTCACATTGCTCCTGGTAAGAAAGCATCAGTTCCGTGACAGCTACGAGGTGCCGTTGCATGTTAGCCTTGGCCTTCACAAACCGCTCCGCATACTGCTCAGCGATTTCCTCATGTAGCTTCGTGCGTTGCACCTCCCAGCGCTGCTGTTCGGCGTGCAACTCAGCAAACTTCTTGTCGTACGCGGTCTGCAGTGCCTCACGTTCTTGTCGAATGTAATCCATCGCGCTCTGTTGTGCTTCATCCATTTTCCGCGCAAAGGCCTCTTGCAACTCCCCCTCACGACTCCGTACATCGGCCATCGATTGAGCAACGCGCGCCTCTAGTACTCGTATCCGTTCCTGGAACGCCCCTTCCTGTTCATTGAAGAATGCGACACATCGTTCATTTTCTTCTATTTGCGCCTGTGCAATGGCAGCATCGCAGCGTTCCCGCTCCCCCTGTTGTTGCTGCAGGAATGCCTTGTGAAGGGCATCCCTCTCCGCCTGCAGCCTCTCGACTGCAGCCTTTTCCTTTTCCTCCATGTCGTGCAGGAAGGCCTCACGCGTCTTGGTAAACCGGCTCAGCTGCTCCGTTTCCCATGCTGCTCGCTGTGCGCGTTCCTCGTCCAGGCGTTTCCCCCACTGAGCGTTGAGCTCCTCCTGCTCCTGCGTCCGCTGCAGCTCGCACTGCCGCCTCAACGCAACGCACTTCTCCTCCCACTCCTTCAAACGCGACAACACCTTCTCGTACTCGTGCCGAGAGATGCCCGGCCCGACACCCGCGTCGTCGGTACCGCCAAGCGCCTCATCGAGCAACCTGTCGTATCGCTGTCGCATCTCTTCGACTTTTTGATGCCACACAATGTCCTGCTCACGCCGCGCGCGCGCTACAGCGCCTTCCATTTCTGCAGCACTTAGTTGCACCTCCTGCGTGAGTCGCTCGATGCGGGCCGACATACCCTCGTTATCGTGGCGCAGCATTTGCACCACCTCCATGTGACGTTCCAACCCTCGCATCGCCTCCTCGACGCGGCCGCTCCACCGGAGGTCGGCGGACTCCTCCACCTGCACCACACGCTGCTCATAAGACGCGAGAAGCGCGCCCTCGCGCTCTGCCTGCTCACTACGCATGCGATTAATTGTGGCTTGATACTCTTTGCTCAGCCTCTCTACGTCATTTTTGTATGCCACAGACTCCTTCTCAAGCATCGACGACCACAGCTGCTCCACTTCATTGCGCAACTCCTGTCCTTTCGCCAACGCAGCCTTAGCTGCCCTCTGTTCTGCCTCCTGTAGCCGTCGCACCATTTCTGCCTCCTTCACCGCCATCTGGACATGCAGCTCTTTCATCGTGTTCTGCATCTCTTCCACTGCCGCGGCACACTCCCGCTGCATCTCCCTCGTCTTCTCGTTTATTCTGGCAATCTGCTGCTCATGGTCTCGTTGCAGGTCATCGCGTCGTGCGATAAGATCATTCATGGCATCTGTCTGCTGTTCTTGATGCTCACGCACCAGCTGTTCACGCAACTGCGACAGATCTCGCATCGCCTCCTCAAGGGCGTGTACGTGCAACGTTTCATGTTCCTTTACAGCCAACTGCTCAGCGGCAATAATCTTCTGGCGCTCCTCTTGCAGGGTCTTCACCCAACCACGCTCCCGCTCCGCAATCTTTTCATCGTACATTCTACAGCGGTCGTAGAACTCCTTGTCCAAGATTTCCTTGTATTCCTCCTTAAACATATCCGCATGACGCATTACCTCCCCCTCCAACTCTAGTCGCACCTCGCTGTGATTTCGAAGGGCCTGCGTCGTCTTCTCAAGCAGTGTTCGGCTAATTTCTTCCACGTCATGCTCATGTTCCGCCAGCGCCTGTCGCGTTTTTTCCATCATGGCTCCCTCAAAGGCAACCTTTTGTTCTTCAAATGCACGCGAACGACAAATCCATTCCTTCTCAAACGTTTCCATGTGGTGCGAAAGGCGCGCCAGACTGTTTTCCTCGCTGCTGCGCACCACGGCCTCGTACTCGGACATGACTTGCATGGCGCGGGCAATAATGTCGCCTTCCTGCCCGCGTTTTGAGGTCTCACTGAGAAGCTGCGATGTGCGCAGGTTTAAAAGCTCCCGTTTCTCCTGCTGATAGCGGCGCTCCGCTTCCTGCAGCATCAGACGTGTGTCTTTCAGCTGCTCCTGAACCCGCTCATACTCGTCCATTGACACCAAACGCCCAGCATGATTTTCTTGGCGATCCTCTCCCTCCAATTGCGCGCGCTCATTCATTAGACGTCCCACCTGCGCCTTTTCCCACTGTAGTTCCTCCAGCAACTGCGTCTCTCGCTCCTGCGCCCGACCACGCTCTTCCAGTAGTTTATACTCGTACTCAGCCACGATCCTTGCAAAACGCGGCTCAACCTCTCGGTTTTGAGTGACACCACTGCTGTGAAGACCCAAAGGCGTGGCGGAGTCATTCCCATCCCTTTCATTGGCGAGACGGCGGTAACGAGCGCTGATGCTGTTACTGCCGCTGCCGCTGCCACTGCCGCCTCCGTGTCCAACTCCCATGGGTGAAATTGTTGACGCCATGTGGGCTGCAGCAAAAACTTTTTGAGTGGAGGGGAGTGAGAGTGCTGTAACGACGTGTGCGCGTTTGTTTGTTGATTTTGTTTCTGTGTGTGTGTGTGTGTGTGTGTGTTTGTGCCGCCGCAAAGTGTCTATGGTCTGCTTCTAGTCGTGTGCCGGCTAAACCCCTGCGATCCACTTGGGCAGGAAAAGAAGGTGTGTATAAACAGGTCTAAATACGCACAGTCGGCAGAGGAACGCCCACAGAGCCCCACACGCACCGATCCCTGTGACTCCAATTCACAGGGAGCGGATGAATCGACCACTGTGATACCATGACGACATCAGCAACAACCGGTGGAAAGAACCCCCACGCAAAGTCAAGGAAAACCAAAAGCAAAAAAAAATATTGCTTTCTCCCTTGGTGCTGAAATGCTTGTTGCCGCTCGTCACACATGCAAAAAAGAAAAGCGCCAAAAAGGCGGAAGAGGGTGAATCAATTGACACTCCACAGCCAGAGAAACAAAATAATAATAATAATGGTGAGTGGGGACTGAAAAGACAATCGTAAAAAAAAACAAACAAAAACAAAACAAAGCAACTCAACGTCGCCACGGAAACATCAAATAACAAGAGCAACAAAGACATAGTAGTCCAAGTCCCACCTTCTCCAACAGAATATAAAACAGAGGAAAGCAAACATAGCGTTTACGTATTCGTCTTGCCATCATGAACACAGAGAAGTGTGACGGAGTGTTTACTTATTCCTCTAGTAGCCGATGGAAAGAGCAAGACCAACACATTCCCCCATTGCCTACACTTCCTTGAGTGCCAACGGCGGGTGGAGGCGCAGAAGGGCGCTTCGGCGCTCAAAAAAAAAAAAAAAACAGCCTCAAGGAAAACGATTAATTCCCCCTTTCTTTTTGAGGCCTGCCCGCAAGACCGCGGAGGTCCCCCTTTGGCTCCTTCGTACCATCCCTCCCACACCGCCACGTAAAAGCATCCGAATGCCTGTGCCGCGTGGACCGTCACAAAAAGACCCAATTCGCTGCTTTGCCTTGGCCCCGCCGTGCAACGCGTTTACCATCCGCCACAGGAGGCGCAATGACCGCGTGATCGCTCGGATGTGCACCGGTCAATGAGCAAACGCCAAGTGAAGACGCCGTTGGGCCAGTTCAGCCGCACAGCCGCCTCTTGAAAGCCCTTCAGTGGCGGCTACCACCCGCTCCACTTCGGAAAGTGTGGGGAGTGTCGTGGACAACGTTCGATACATGCACTCTCGCTCTTGTTCCTTAAAAACAGTACGCCTTGCGGCAAACTACACGTCATGATAAGCACCTGAGAAGAGCAGACAGTGTTGGGGCAGGTTTATTCACCTTATTTTCCCATACCAGGGGCATACGCGTCACGCCAGACCATTCTCCTTTCGCAGGCTCCCCAATCAAAAGAACCAAAAGGGCGGAAACTTGGCGGACCTCATGCTGAGGAGGGAGGTATTGAAAAGGGAAACTTAGAAAACGTAATAAAATCCACCATATACTTCCACACACTGAGGCAGCAAGAAAGAGAGATACTTCATTTATAGTCTCACACCCTTGAATACACAAGAAAAAAAAACCAAAAAAAAAAACAAACAACAACAAAAACAAATTTAAAACAAAAAAAAAAAGGAGTTTGGCTCATAGTAAAACTTGCAAAGATATGACTCTTTCCTTTGATCGTCATGTGGGCATAAAGACATGGAACAAAAAAAAGTAACAAGACAGAGACGCAACTAAGAAGAGAAACTCATACATCAGCACACACACACACACACACACAAACGAACGAGTCCCTTCTCACATCAGCTGGAGTTTGTCCACAATGTAGGAAATACATAAGGAAAAATCGTTTATATTTCAATGATTTTCGTTTCCGTACTTGGTGCTGATTTTCATATCACCTCGGGCATCGCCGAAATTTCTACAAGCTCTCTTCCTTGCAGGAGCCACCAAGTGGCATTAGCGAATTCTCCCTGCCGAGTGATGACATCATCCACGGGGTGGTCTTTTCTCCAACGCTGTGTAGCACACTCTGCCCCGTTAACGCCATGACAAGTCGTACAAATTCATTTACGTGGAATTCATAGTTGTCATCTACCGGGATTCCAAGGATCTGCAGAGCATTTATTACCTCTGCCTTGCTTACTGGGATGCCTAAGCCCCGCCATAGACCTTTTTCCACGCAGACTGCCAGTGAAACACCGTGTAGCAGTGTTGACAACTCGGCGGCAGGCTGACCGTCATTGGCCGCAGCGCAATGTGTGGATTCTGCTCGGGGCACGCCTGGATATGTTTGCATCGCAGTAGAATTTGGGCCCGACACTGTGGTAGGGTTGCTTTCTGCGCTGTTTGTAAACGTATTGCTGCGGCTCCTACAGTTGTTCTTGGGAGCTGCGCGGATCGATCTACCTGTGGCGTTCCCACTGGAGTAGCTTGTGTACCGTGTTTCGTTGCCTGAAAATTTTTGTTGTTGCTGCTCGCGAGCCACGCCATCTGCAGGGCACTTCTTCTGCACGACAGACTTCAATATGGAATAGAACGTGCCCCGCACAACCTCAGTTGGGTATCGACCCTGAATCATGTAGGCCATACGAGCAAGAAAAGCGTCAAAGTACACTCGTTCCCGTGACTCCACCTCTGCTGCACATGATGTAGCGGCAGGTATGGCTGCGTCATTTTCCTCTTCACCGGGGAGACCACCGTGGTTGTACTGCATCACACTAATTCGCTTTACATCGTCAAATAATTCAGCAATAAGTGGAGTTTCCGGGAGAGGGATATTTACGCATTGCAGGATCTCTGAAAGCATCTCAATGTCTACCAGCTGTGTCTCTTCCCCAACACAGTCAGCTTTGGCGCTACGAAACTCCTGTAGGAAGTCCTGCACGTCTACAGAAGCCAAACTGAACGCCGAGAGATCACTTCGGGTACTGTCATCGCGGTCAAGAGCCGCTGTACCGGGGCCGCTGTGCGTATTTTCACCCCCGGCTGTGGGGAATCGAAGGGCTGCGGGTCCATAAGGTGTCTCGTTGCGACTGCCACGCACGGAGCTCCAAGACACTAACATAGCAGAAGAAGGCCGCATCTTGCAGACACTTGCCCTCGTGGCAGAAAGACTTGTCTGCACTGTTTTTGGGAGTGGCTCAGGCAGAGGAGTCGCTTGGGCGTTGACGACACCAGGTGGGAATAAGCACGTCTCCGTATCTGTTTTTGCTGTCGTTTCGAACGTATTGTCTGTCGCCACATCTGTTGGCGGTAGTCTTAAATGTTCCACTTCTTCGTCCTCAATTGGTGCCTTTTCTTCCAGACATCGTTCCTCCACCTCTCCCTCTTTCACTTCTGGTGCGGCGGAATCCCTGTCCGTCGGTTTTTTATTATCACGTGCCTCTTCCGTTATCACTTCACGTTGCACGGGGGCGCACTCTGACAATTGCTGGGAGTCCCTTCTACTTTCATTAGAACTCTTACAATTGGCAGTCCTTATGGAGCAATCCTTCCCAGCGGATTTGCCACCGCTGACACGCATGTGTTCCAGAATGTACTGCAGTGGGTCCTCTGGCTGCTCATTTAGTACGCCACTAAAGATGTTCTCGACCCTACCAGGCACGCCGTGGCGCAGTAGATAGCAGTACGCCTCACCCGCCTCGCTCTGCTGTGAGGGTTGCGGTTGTTGCAGTTGTTGTTGTGGTTGCTGCCGCGGTTGATGCGTTTGACGTTGTGACTGCTGCATTTGTCCGAGAGGCCGCTGATGTACGCCAATGGCGCCGTCACGAACGGTAGCACCACCGGACATTTAGACAAAAACACTTTCTGCCTTTGTTCCCTATTTATATTCGCTACTTGTTGCCGGCAAAAAAAAAACCACCTAACTCTACGCACGCACGTAAACAAAGGGCGTGAAAAAAGTATTGAGTGAGGCAGATACAGAGGGATAAATACATCGCATTACACGCATCAATGCACATTGTGCTCGTGTGCCTAATATGCTCCAAGGAGGCAACGCCAGCCGGGTATAAATTTAGCGCAGGTTAAACTTTTCACCGTCAGGGGCACAGCGAGGGGACACCCACCACTTTGTGGTGTACAAAGCACCGCCACGAGGTTTTGCCCTGGTGTTTACTTCCGAATATGAACTTCCATAAAGCGGATTGGCTCTGTTACACGCGACGTCATCTTAAACTCGTGAATGTACTTCCACACCGTTGGGAATTCCCGCTTCAAGGCAAAAATAAAGCTCTTTGCATTTTCACACAAATCACCCGCCGTCATACCAGCGTGACCCACACGGAATGTCAACTGCCCTGGGTTTTTCGCACGCACTACACCACCCAAGACGCCCTGCGAAAGCCGAAATGTGAGACTCGTGCGATCCTCGAGGTTACGCAGGGCGGTGATGCATTTACCCGATGCCTTCGGCAGCTGTACAGCCTGCGTCGCCGGAGGTGACTCCGCAACTTTCCCGCTTCTGCATTTACCAGCGGCATCCTTTTTTCCGCCTTGGGCGCCTGGTCGTGCTGCCGAGGATGAGGCATCATCGCGTGCCTGCGGTGTCACTGGTGCTGGCAGCGAGGCCGCGGCGGTAATACATGGCGGCAGCTTTGACACAATCCGGTCATCCACGACAAAGTGGGAAAACGTCTTGGAAACTAGTACGGCCCGACGCGCAGCCTCCGTGTCGTCTCTCTTGCAGATGGCCTCCGCTGTCACCACAGCGTCGTAGTACCCATGCCGCTTATTAATCTTAAACGCATCACCAGAAATAATACGTGGGACGATGAGACATGTTGTGCGGCCGTTCATGGCGTAGGTGCGCTTCGGTAGCTGGAAAACGTGCTCGGTGAGCAGCTCCGGGCACTGCGCAACCACAACAGCGGGCACGACAAACTCAATGAAGACGCCCTCTGCCGCTGCAGCGTCTGCATCAGCCCCACACAGTCGCTGTATTTTGTGGATCACGGCCTTTGTCACAATGAGACGTTTGTCCTGCGGCATCCTCTTGTTTGTTATTCGCGATGCTACTTTATTTCGCCGCCCCTTTTTTTTCTTTTTGTTTGTTTCAAGTTTGCTTATGTGCTGCCTGGTTTGCTTTCTTCACCCTGCGTGAAGGATGCCGGGGATGCACCTCACCGTCGTTCCCAATGCTGTGAAGAAGTCTGGCAAATGCCGCACAAAAAAAAAAAAAGAAGTGAGAGAGAAAAAAGGGAATACACAGAAGCTAACATGATAAACATCGGGCACACAAACTCACCACCTCTTCTCCAAAACCCACCAAAAGTAAGAGCAGGAACACCACACACCGATAGAAAGAAAAAGAACACTCCTCCTCCTTCCTCTTTCCCTTATTCTTGTCGGGTTCAGCACTTTGAATGCCCCCCCCACCCCCATTTAGAAAAAAACTCCACCGCACAAGACATGTGGCCCCACCGTCGTCATGCCTTTTCCTTGCTCCTCCACCGCCTTAAAACAGTCAGGTACCCACAGTGATGTTAATCGTCGTCCATCAGCAGTGCGTGCTGCAAGGCGGGATGAAGCTCCTGAGAGCACGCTGCGTCCGCCTCGTCAGCCTCTTGCGTCAGCCGTGGGATGGCGTTCCCAGCAACAGCCAGAAGTTTTAAGGCGCTCGGCGTCACTGGTGGTGACGCCGCCACGGAGACGCCGGCACGCATTTGTGTATCAAAGAGCCGCGTGCCCTCTCGCAAGGTGTCGTTCTCGTCGCTGTTCTCCTCGCGCTGTCGCTTCTCCTTTGCGGTGGGCAGAGAAGCGTGCGTCCGGGGCTGCTTGCCTGTTCGCCGCACCTCCACAAGCGCACTCCCGTCCTCTGATCCTCCCGCGACTGCCATGTTTGGGTCACGCGGAAACGTTGTTTCGTAAAACGCCACCACTTTAGCATCAGCGCCAATAGAGCTCGGGTCGAACTCCGTGATGGCCAGATCCTCCCGCCGGCGAACCCGCGTGAGCGCGACATACGCCTGCCCACACTCGAAGAAACTTCCATTGAGTTCCACCCGCGCCATCGGCAGCGTCATGCCCTGCACCCGGTGTACTGTCAGAGCCCACGCGAGCTGCAATGGAATTTGCGTGCGTGCGGCTACAACCCGACCATCCGACGCCAAGACATCCATCCGCACGGGCGGCACCACCACCTCCTCACCACCGCTACTTGTGAAGCACACCACTGGAAATGCCGAGCCCTGCGCCTGTTCCGAAAAAGCAACCACAACTCCAAGATCGCCGTTGGAGAGATACGGCGCATTTGGCAAAGAGGCGAGCAGCACCACCTGCGCCCCAACACGCAACTCCAGCAGCGGAAGCAGCGAAACCTCCTTATCCAATTCGTACCCGGGCGTTGAGGCGTAGTCCTCGGAGGTGTAGCGATGGAAATTAACGTCGTCCAGTAGCTGCAAACGCTCCGTGTTATACGTCGTGGCACTCTGACGGCGCGCCATAATGACGGTGGGCTCAACACCAAAAGAATCCTCCAGCCGTCGGTTAAGACATGACAACAACAGACTCTCCACACGACGAGTATACCGCCCGTATCGGATATCTTCCATGCATGCTGCGAAGACGGGGTCGCCTTCGTGCCGGTAGTTCTTACGGAACTCAACGGCGGCAAACTGTAGGTTTCTCCACAACGGGCACTCAAAGCACCACTTTGGCTCCTCCTTAGTATCGCCTGCGTGGTTGCCACTCACAGAAGCCGCCGAGGCGGTGACAGGAGGCAGCTGCAAAAAGTCACCAAGAAGAACGAGCTGAAGACCCCCAAACGGTTTTTCGGGTTCGCGACGCACTTGGCGGGCAATCGCATCCAACACGAGGAAAACATTCACTGGAAGAACGCCGATTTCATCAATGATGAGTGTCTTACACTGTCGCCACGCCCGCACCACCTCCGGGCGGCCCTTGACGCGGTGGTAGATCTTGTCAAACGAGCCTTCCCCTCTGCCAATGCCAGCAAACGCGTAAATTGTAACCCCGCCAATAATGCGAGCGGCAACACCCGTGGTGGCGGTTGCCACTACGCCCTCACTTTTTGACAAGACATCCTGCAGCAGGTACAGAAGCCAGGCTGTTTTTCCCGTGCCCGCTGATCCCGTCAAGAAGACGTTTCTCCCCGTGCGCACCAACTGAATGGCACGCATCTGCTCCGTTGTCCATGACGCGCTGGCAAAAGACGTCACCTTCTCACGCGTGCTATTCCCCAGGAAAGACTTTGTCCGCATCGAGGTCACTTCTAAATGTGCCACAGATGCAGCTTGTGAGAGTGCGTTTTCCCTTTTCGCTGACTGTGTCGTGGGTTTGTCGGCATCACGAATATCCACGCCGTCGCCATCATTATCCGCTGCGTCGTTACTGCTTTTGGCATCGTTATCATCCCATTCTGACATGGCAAATACATTTGGGTCACGAAGCACGTGCCCTGTTGCCTTGCCTCCACGTCCCTCTCGGCATTTTTTGCATGCCACATTCTTCTCAATCTCTCTCCAATGATTGCGGTCCTGCAGCACTGCGGCCATGATGCGCAAGGCATCCACGTCGGCTGTGGTCTCAATAAACACGGTGCACACCCGTTGCTCATGCGGCACTACAACTGTAAGCTTTCCATCCATGGCATACGCCGACAAGACACGCTGAAGCCCCGCTAGTTGGAAGAACGTCCCCTCGTGGTGCTTATGACGACTAGAACGGACAACAAAGCATGGGCCAAGTCCGGACTGTCGCGAGAGAAAACACTCCGTACCACCCCACTGGCCTATCCGCTCACCGTCTTCCGCCGTCACGATTATACGGCCCCGCACAGCAGAGACAGTCATTTTGGGTTTTAATGCCGCCATGAGTGACGTTGTTCTATGAAGAAGCGTCCGTTGCCGATGTAAGAACACAAACACACACCGGAGTTTCTCTCTCTCTCTCACACACACACACGAACACGTGCGTCAATTCAGCAGCAGACAAGCGTATCTAATTGTATCTATGTATTTGTATGTATTCGTGCGTGGGCCAAGAGGGGCGGGCCCGATCGGCCTTGTCGCTTCACACCTCCCAAGGAGTATGGGTCCAACAAAAATAAACACAAAGAGAGCGAAATAATAATAATAATGCATATGAATAAACTGCAATACGTAAATAAACACGATGGACACGGCCACACCCACACACTCCCCAGCGTCATTTCTAAGAGATATATATTTGTGTGTGTGTGTTTTTTTTTACTTTATTTCCAACCAGTACTTGGTACGTGGTGGGAGCATCACCTATTGACGTCACCGGTGGCTCTTGACACCGTGGCGGGTTCTTCTGACACCCTCTCCAGACGAAATCCGATATTCTTACGCACCATCTCCCTAGCCGCGGCCTCAATCGCGGCTCGGCGAAGCGACTCCATGTCTTCCTCCTCCGAACACCCCTCCCCTACTGTCGTACTGCTGTGTGGCCTCAACGCCAACACACGCCGCAGCTCCGTCTCAAGGAGGTCATAGTTGCACTGTAGGGCCAATGCGGTGTAGCGCAGCTCCGTCGCTGTCTTGTGCGCCGCGCGGTCCGTTTTCTCCAATCGACGCAACAGCGCCTCGTGTAGCGCCAGCTGGCTGAGCTGCAACTCCGCAATGCGCAGCTGCGCTGCCGCCAGCTCTGTCCGAAGCGCATCAATTTCCGGCTTGCTCCCCTCGGAACTCGACAAGGACGAAAACAAAGGAGGTCGACGCGGTCGCTGTGAAGTTTCCTCTGACGGATGAGTGCCTGGCTGCGGGCTCGCCACGGAAGCAGACACGTCAGCGGCAGAAACGGTGGGGAGAATGCCCCCCTCCGAGGGGTATGCCCGACGGAGCAGAAGCAGGCAGCGTCGCACCATCCACACCTCCCCGGCCCACGCACACGCGGCTCACTACCCCGTACCAGCAAACCACATCACGCGACATGAGAGAGAGAGTAGAAAAAAAAAAGAGACGAGTGCGAGCAACATCGGCAAGAAGAAAAGAGGGAGTTAACAGAGTGACACCAACCCTCTCCGCAGAGCACCGCAGCGGCGAAACAGTAGCTTGCATGGTGAGATTAAACGTCCGGAGACAAGGCACAAAGTGGAGTAAAAAAATACCTCAAAGAAAGGGCGACCAACACATACATACACACACACAAAAGGGGAAAAACACACACAACTAAAAAGCAAATACATGTATGCACGTATGTATGTGTACGGAGGGTCAAGTAAAAATAAAACAAACGCAGATACGAGACAAGAAGAATATATTCTTTATGCCGGAAATAATGAACACATCATTTACTGTGGCGTGTACACCCAAAGGATGACTTCGTGTTTGCGTGCCCACATCAACAAGTATGTGGCAACTTCGTGGCTCACGGCACAAGCACAAACACCCAGAAATGTATCAGCAACTCCCAAAAAGATGCAATCGCAAACTTGTTGCGGCAAACAAATAACAAAAAATCAAAGTAAGGAAGGAATGTAAAAGCGACGGAGTGAGGAGACACAGCAAGCAATTGCAGCAATACGTTTTCTGCAGTAGCACCTCCTACTACCCCCATTATCTGTCCCCTTCTTGTCGTCATGCATGGGTTTGCGTGTGCGAAGCGAAGTCATCGGCGACTGCCATTACCATCCCTTCCTGCCCCTCGCTGAAGTGCCACCCAAAGGTCCCCCACACACGCAAGCACGCACGCACATATCACTAACGATCACTTAAATACGCCCCAAAACAAAATGAACAAAAACAACACGAGTTCTGATGAGAAACATTCTATTCTTCTTTGTTTCCCTTCTAATTTGTACGCCTCAAACACCTTTCAAAACTACGACCAAAAAGCATCCCGTACGTAGTGAATTTAGTCCATAAATTTAATGACGCCTTCCACGAGCGTCAGCCGACGGCTCTCCAACGTTCCGGTGTTGAAACGCTGTTGCACCTGCAGCATGGCCGACGTCTGCCGCGCAAAATGCGCCAGCTTGCGCAGGGCAGACCGCAGGAGCTGTCTCCTGCGCCCCACAATACCCTTGGCACGCAGCGTGCGCAGCCACATGATTTCCGTCTCGAGGGTGCGAAGGTCCTCCAACTTCAGCTGCATTCCCTGTCTCAGCCATTTTGGCAGAACTCCAATTGAACGGCAGTGTGTTGCAGCGTGGCGTTGAAAGCTTTTCCCTGCGGGGCGCGTTCCGCGTTCGCCTCCAAGTCGATGTGGAGGGACTCCAGCACCTCATACATTGCTTTGTTCTCACAGCGCAGCCTTGCTAGCCACTCCTTCAAGGAGTTCATGCCCTCGCGTTTTGAGAACTGCAAAAGTTCCTCGTGCCCCTCTGCGCATGTGACAGTCTCGGCGTCGTGGCAGTGCAATTTATGCTGCAGCGTCATCCATGTCTGGAACTAGTGCAGCACCTCATCGCCTATGCGATGCGCCTCGGCAGCGGCCCCTTCCGAGGCCGACATCTTTGCTGTCGCATAAGCCTTGCCCATAGACGAGCGAATGACACAATGGGTAGGAGAGCCGCTAGGAAGAGTTCATGCTACACCACACCGCGCAAAAAAAAAAACGTCTCGAACATGCTGCACAGCTTAGACGGGCTTCAAGGCAAGCAGGGGCGCTCCTGCATAAACTGCTCAAGCTTTCTAAGCGTGCCGTGCACATCATCTGAGTCCCGCAAAAAATGCGGACTCACGGACACGCTGCATGCGTCTCAGCTGCTGCTGTATCCTGGCAACGATGTTCAGGAGTCTCCCCGCATCAGGGGCCTCGCCTGTGGTGGCCAACACGGAGCGGAGGGTTTCACACAGCTGAGTGCACACCGCGATATCCACCACAAAATCGTTTGTCTGAACCGACGTTTCTTGCAAGTGTTTTGCCTCTATCACATGTTAGTGCGGCGTGGCGTCGGAGGGCCCCCCTCCGTCATCACGGCGGCGTCTTTGGTTTCTAACGGCAGTTCCGTTTGCAACTCAATTACCGCCCTCGCAGCATCCGCTGCTCTCGCAGTGTGGGGCCCCGTGAGGGGTGTCTGGCTCAGCGAGACCGCACGCTCATTTGCTGAGGCGCCACGTTGCCTGTTCGTACCGCCTGCTTCAGCGTCGCAGGCCGTTTGCGCGGCGCACGCAGGCGACTCCAATCCGCTGCTTTCGCGCAGCTCGAGACACAATTCAATCGAGTGCCGTGACGGTGTACTGCTCCTCCTCCGTGAGAGACGCAGACGCTCCAGTCATTTTGGGTGCGAGGTTGCCAATCTTAGATACAACGAAGGTAAGCGCCTCACCCTGCCGCAAAGCCACGGCGGGACGGCATGGTCGGTGACTCCTCCTTTTGCAACAGTGGCACCGACGCGAGGTTCCCCTCCCCAATAAACCGCATTAATGACGCACAGTGTATCACATCCTGCGTTGCTGCACAGTACACCCTGTAGGATGCCAATACTCTCCGCTGCTGCAGGAGCATGATTGCCGCAAGACACGGTGTACATATACACCACACCGTTCAGTAACCGCGTCACCAAGTGAAGAGCGTCAAACACGGAGTGGAGTGACACTGCCCATATGTGTCTCTCCACAGAATCCGTGCGTCACCCAAAGCCACTGCATATCCCCTAATGGCTTGAACTACCCGTTGCAGTACATTATGCATTGCAGGGGTCTCCTCAACCTTTGCTTCCTCTGTGTCTTCCGTATCATTGCCCTCCACAGCCGCCGCGTTGCGTACGGCGGCTGAAGCGGCCAAGACACGTTCCAAGACCAACAGGGAGTACCACATCTCCTCACCGTAATACGTTTCCAGTGCTTCAGCGTTGCGTGCGTCTGTGACTGTGGCGTAGAACCGCAATGCGCGCACCACCTGCCCCACACGACCACTGGAAAGCTCATTAACTACACCAACGACAGCATAATATCTTGCCTGATCCAAGGTGGCAGGGACGCCGAAAACCGTTTGCGTCAACTTTAAACAATCGCCAAGAGTGCGCTGCACCGTTCCTGACCACACATCTGACGTCCTACGCAAAGCAGGAAACCACGCTTGCAGGAAGCAAGATGCCAACGCAGCCCCTTTAGATGTCATTCCATTATGCATCCGTTCCTGCAATACAATAAGCATCTCTGTGACCACTGACGCAAAAGCTTCTTCCAGTGCACACTTCACGGTACGGTGAGCCTCCGCCAGCTCTGCTGGCGTTCTCCCAAAAACAACAAAACTATCATCCAACGCTGCACTAAAACCCAAACAAAGAACATCCGCATGTGGTGATCGCACTTTTTCCGTGGTGATGTTGCTGTGCAAAATTTCAGGCACGTGTACCACTGCTTCTATGTACGATGCGTCCACCACAGTCTTGCCACGCTGTTGTGCGAGAATCTGAAGCACCGTCAGAACCAGACCCGACATCCCATCGCCGTAACTGTTGCTCACTGTGTTTGCTCCAGGTCAGCTTCCATCCCTCATAAAAGCAGTCGGTGCTGCATGCAGCGTATTGAATAGGACATCGCGCCAAATACTGGCCCGCTGCGCCTCGTTATTCAGCGGCATAGGCACCCAATTACTCTCAAATACCAAAATCATCTCCTCAGGATCTTGCCAAGTAGTCCCCGAAAAAGTGTAGGTAACAACACAAAGATCAGTACGGATCTGTATTGTCAAAATATCTGAAAGTTCCAAAGAAACAACGGCAGGCTCTGGTGTTTGCATCGAGATAAGGAGCGGTGTTGGGGCAGTGATCATCTGAACAACATCTTCTGAAGAGCCTTCTCTCATTACCACGTCTATCATCGCCTGCATCATCTTCTCCCTAGCAATTTCTGTCAGGGTTGGTTTGTCCACAATTTCTAGCAGCCTCCTCCTCTGCTCTTCGTATGGCTGCGTGTTTCTGATTGTCATGATGCCACTTGGCTCAGTCGTCTCCGCCATGAAAAGAGGCGCCGTCACGGGCCGGGAACCCATCATTGTCTTGGACATAGCGAGTGTCTTCACGGACTACGGGCGGTGCGTGGTGGTCGAGGCACAACCGTCAGTGACCTTGTGCGCGTCTCTCTGCAGTAGCTGACTCTCCGGAGCGCCCGTCATGGCGAGCGTTTCTCAGACAGCTCGAGCGGCGGAGTTCATCTTCACCTGCTGTTCCACAAATTCCCAAGCCGCCGTGTCTCACTCCAACTCAACCACACGGAAGGTGTAGAGAAGCATTTCTTCCACTTCCTATTGTCGCGCGCAGACGTCGAGAGTCTCCTTTTTGAGAGTTTCACACCGCTGCTTGTAAAATTCCGTTGTCACGCTGCTGCAGGCCCTCCTCTGTAGAGCTCTCCCTTGAGCTCCCGCCTCTCACTCATGAGAGATGCGACGAGCCTGTTCAGCTCCTCCACAATGTTGATCTCGGGAATACTCATCAGGTGCACTCGCTGTGTCTCGAGAAGGTCATCCTGCACCTGTAGACGTTCCTCTTACAGCCAAACCTGATCAAAGACACAGGCGTACTGAACCTGCAGTTCCTGTGTGGTAAACTAACAGTTAAACTCGCGGTCGATTCCTCAACCCGCTTTGCTCGCTACACAAACCGCGGCGTCTTGAGTTTCTCCATGCGGTTGCGGGCACCAATAGAGTCGTAGCAGAGCAGTATCGTCGTTGCATTCCCTCCAATGGACTCCTGCAGCATGCGTGTAAGCTTGGAATCAAGGTAGGGCACACGTAGCCAAAATTTCCATCTCTCAGGCTATAAAT